AATCTTGTGTATGAAAAAAAAAAAAAAAAAAAAAAAAAAAAAAAAAAAACATCAACAAACGAGTCAGGCACTTATATCTAGGAGATGGCTTGGGGTGCAAAATTCATGTCACCTAAGGCTTCAGATGTAAGCTCATAAGAATCATGATAAAAAGGAATTTAAAACATAATCCCCATTTCAGTTGCCTAAGGCTCTCCCATTTCAGGCTGCTGGCTGTTTTGAACTCTGCTCCTGTAACATAATGATCCTTGTGAATTAATACACCATGACCTTCAGTATCTTTGTTCATATTCGTCTCCCGGTTCTGGCACTTAGAACTTAGCCATATCATCACTGCCTGCCTTTGTGTGAATGTAGCCCTTATTCCATACGTAAGCTTGAGCACAAAAATGGTTAATCTGTTCAGCATATAAAAAGGGGTCTAGAATCTACTTAACTTACGAAGGGAAGAGTTCAGTAGCCAACCACTCCACTTTGTTGGTTCTGTTGACATTTTTAAAGAAATTAATTTTTAAAATTGAAGGACATTAAAGATATTAATGAGAGACTACCTTTTTTTTTTTTTTTTTCATCTCTATAAGGGGACATATAATTTCTATAATGAGAAACACCCTATTCACAAATCTGAAATTTTCAATTTGAGCCTCAAAAGCTTAATTGTAGACTTGCTAGATTGTGTTTCTGGTAGTAAAGTGTGCATTTCATTTCAAAGTTCCTATTTGCTTGAAAAAGAAAGGACTAATGAAAAATAATTTTCATTTTTGTGTCAATAATTGTCAAACTCATTCATTTTGTATTCTAGTAAGATAGAAATATTACACACAGTGACAAAAATCTTTGCTCCTTGTAAGTCATAAGAATTTCACACTCGCTTTCCCAAAATTAGGACTTGATCCCAGTATTGTAGGGATCAGTTCATATCAATGAATTAAGATAGCAATTTGAATTTGATAAAATTCTGTGAGATTACCAGGCAGTTGTTTAATTCACTGAGGTATCACTGCAAGACAAAACTCCCACTTACCTGTTAGCATATTCTTTTCTCATGTTAAGGTATGTGCTATGAAAACAGTCAAAACTATTTCTGGCAACTACACAAACTATTAAAAGAAAACAGAGTTTTGTACTATTTCCATTAAAAAACTTCTCCTTTCTTACTCATTCTATAAATGCTATAGGAGTCAATTATCAAGGTAACTCAAATCTCCTGAGATAGATGGTCTACCTTTTTGGGGCCTCTCCAGCACAGAAGTTTCCTGACCATTCTTTTTAGTCTTCTTTGGAGGTCTGTAACAATTTTCTATGGACGTTTTACTACTTCTTTTAGCCCCATTTTGTATTTGTCGCATTAACTAACCCACATATGCAATTTTACTCAACATACCACAACTTCTAATTAAATCATCACATCATTTCTTGTCCTCTGAATTTGCCCCCTCATTTAATTCTGTATTCCTGTATTTTAATATTAACGCAGCTAACCAAGAGCCAGTCATCTGTTCAATGTTTTGTTCTGAAAAATCCCTTCATGTTTTCAACATTTTACACAGATTCTTTTCATAAAAGTGAATCTCCTTTCTTTTCTTTAATGCAGTGCTTTCTACCTATATTATTCACTCCAACTTAAAAAATTACTTATCCTCTAAATATTGGCTAATCTCTCTTCCATCTTTCACTACCTATCCTTTTGCTAAAACAACACACATAAAACTGAATACTAGAATTACAAGGCTACTTCCCTGCTAATTTCTTATACAGATATGGTCTGTCAGTTCTAGATGACTTTGGACCAGCCCCAAACAAAAGAAAATATTCTGGGTAGTATAATCCTGCATGGAACAATGTGATCTGTATAAAAAATCACTTACTGAATCACTAGCACCTCTCTCCACTCCTAGGAGATCTCCTATCGAAGTAATGCCTGAATTAGTGTAGAGTGATTTGTGGCTTTCCAGCTGTCAGTCATTAATTCTTAGGAAACACAATATACAATGCAATAGTACTCAGTTGAAGGTTGTAGTCTGCACTGCTTTAGGAATAGTGTAATTTACCTGCTGAATATTCTTGAAAACTGTTTTCAAGCAATAACTGCAGCCCATTATTTCTATAACCCCTCAATCACATTTCACTCCTGATGAAATATTGTGTTGGTCACAAAAACTCATAAAGCAGGCAGGGTAAGGAATTCCATCTATGGAGAATCTGGTCTATGAAACAAATTACTGAGTTGAAGACAACAGTTTTGCTCCAGTATTTTAAGTTGCCCACTCATGTTTCTTTGGCAGAGAGGAAAACAGAGACAAACCCAGCAGCAGGGACTACGAAGTGACTTGGAATTCTAATCCACCTTTGTCATTTACAATCCAACTGACCAGTAACAGTCGCCCTATTTTAGAAACAATATTGAATAGCTATAATTCACTGCTAACTGCCCCATCTCTTCAAACAAAGCCATTACTTAGAGCCAGCACCAGAGGCAGGATGTGTTGTGACATTCCAGACCCGTTTGAGTATCCAAGAGTCTGGGGACTTACCTTCAGGCCAAGCCAAGGAGCTGCTTGCATAAATCCAGCCAGGGAGTCTCTGTAATGCCTGCTTCATCACGAAATTTTGGCAAAATCTATGACAAGCTCAGTTCAGCCAAAAACACAGCACCTTTAGGCATGCACTGTAGCAGAACTTGAGCACATAAGGAAGTTTGCTGTTGGAAGCTCAGGCACCTCTGGCTTCCCAGGAATCAGAGAAGGCTGCCTAGGGATTTTTTTTTTCAGGTCTATTGCTTTCTTGAATTTACCTGTTAAATAGTCTGAACTGCACGTTGGCAACCTAAGATTTTTTTTCCCCATTTAACTCTTCCAGAGTTAAGATGTAAATAAAAAGATAGCAACATGATGTAAACACAAAATGAGCATCACTACTAATACCAGGGTTAACAAAGTGTAACCATAGCTCAGTGTTTATTAGGCACCATGACAGCAATTATTTTAAGGAAGGATTTGAAAACAATCCTTCAAACATTTTTATGGCAAACTCCTCCCATACTCAGGGGTTTTCATGCCTTTAGCTATTACATCTGCAACTGAAGCTAACTGTGAAATTGGCAATTTATTTATCCCATGGCACATACACACATATTTGCAATAGTAAAAGTGAGTAAGGGTCTATAATGAATACTATAATAATAATAACATACTATGTTAGAACCCTTTTTAATCAGATTTTGTCATCCAGCATTTAATACCTGCAGAGATTCTCATGCTGACTGAAACACTTCTGTGTACTTTCTTGTTGCCTTTATCACTAACACTGTTAATAAGATGCTGTTATTTTCTAAACAAAATAATAAGAGCAGTGCCAAAACAAAAAGACAGTACAAAGAAAAGTTGACCTTAAAAGTAACACCAAGAACTGCAAGGAAGCAGAAAGTGCCACTAAGTATAAAACTTAACAATACTGGCTCTCCTAAGGAATGCATGTACCTGTGAAAGTATTTTTCATTAAGATGCTATCCTTACAAAAATTCCATTAGAATTTGTAGTCTATTTTTTGTATTGTTATATTATTTAAAAACAAAACAAAACAAAAAACTGTTATGGAAATTAAGTATTCCTGATAACTTACCTATGAATTTCAAATAAGATTGAACAAGGTGCAAAGTTGCTTGAAAGATGAAATTCATAAACATAAAAGCATACTGAAAGTGTGTTAATAGTGAAAAAATTATCTATACCATTCTGTGTACATGACTGTCAGTAACTGAGGCTTATCAATCTGAAATCAAGATGTAATGATGCATTATTCTGTTTTATATTTAGATGTATCTGTAAAACAGAGATTTTAGTTTAATGAACAATGAATGTATAGATGTTCCTAAAAAGAGTGGAATCTGAGACATCAGAATAAAAAGTATCTTATCTCTCTCATTCATGCAACATAAATGGAATTTATTCATCATCAACGTTTCTTAGTGTTTTTGTACGGAATTGAAGATAATATCAGAATTCAGAACTTTCTATTTCATGCAAGGTAGCAGAATATGTAGCAGAATATGCTTTGACATTTTCTTGAAAAAAAAAAAAAAGTACTAATTTTTTTACAGTTGCAGTTTTTTGTTTGTTTGCTTTTCAAAAGCAGTAATTTTCTTTTTACACAGCCCAGGATATGGTTGGCTTTCTGGGCTGTGAGGGCAGCCCAGACATGGCATGCTGGACATGAGCCAGTAATGTGCCCTCACTGCACAGGAAGCCAACCATATCCTACGCTGCATCAAAAGAAGCATGGCCAGCAATGCAAGGGAGGTGATCTTGACCATCTACTCTGCACTGGTGAGGCCTCACCTGGAGTACTGCATCCAGATGTGGAGTCCTCAGTACAGGAGAGACATGGGCCTGATGGAGCGCATCCAGAGGATGGCCAAGGAAATGATTCAAGGAATGGAACGCCTCTCCTACAAGGACAGGCTGAGACAGCTGGGGCTGTTCAGCCTGGAGGAGGGATGGCTCCAGGGAGATCTGATAGCGGCCTTTCAGAATCTAAAGGGGAGCTACAAAAAAGAAGGAGACATACTCTTTAGTGGGGTCTGTAGTGATAGGACACGAGGAAATAGTTTGAAACCAGATGAGGGGCAAATTTAGGTTGGATATAAGGAAACAGTGAGGGTCACTGTTAAAGTCACTGGCATACACTGCACAGAGATGTAGTGGAAGCCCTGCCCCTGGAGACATTCAAGGCGAGGCTGGACCAGGCTATGACAAACGTGATCTAGCTGTGGATGTCCCTGGTTTTTGCAGAGGAGCTGGATGACATGATCTTTAAAGGTCCCTTCCAACTCCAAGGATTTTTGATTCTATAATACCCGTAGACAGTTTGAAAAGTGAGCAATAGTTGCTGAAAGTTTAATGAGTGGCTCCTCTCCTTTAAAGGTAAGATTTTTTAAAAACAATTTTACTTGAATTAAGCTATTATTTCTATCATGACTTTAAAATAAGAACCCATGTTACCTGTATGGCTGTGAGGATATTGGCTAGCGCCTGCCCATATGTATCATGGCAGTGAACAGCAAGGGCATTCAGAGGGATTTCCTTCATAACAGCTTCCAACATTCTTTTCATACTTCCAGGAGTCCCCACACCAATTGTGTCCCCCAAAGAGATTTCATAACAGCCCATACTGTACAGACGTTTAGACACCTGATCAGAAACAGAAACAACAAGAGATCAAGATGAAAGAGTGAAAATAAGGTCCAGAATATACATTAAAAAGAGTACATTTCTCTACAGTTTTAGTTTCAGTCACAATGAGTGGGCCTATATATAAGAAAACCTCTATTCATTCTTCAAAATTGCACCCCAAGAAGAACATCCCATAGATCCTCTCCTTTTCAAGTTTATAGGTCCGTTTCTACATATGGAAAAACCAGCCAAGCAATCCATCAACAACTGCTGACTCTCCCACATAATCTAAATACGATAGACTTTACATTGTGAACTAAGATTCTGTCAAGCCCTTTCCCAGCATTTTCCTCTCTCTGGGCACTTCCCAGTTGTTTGTTTTTCTCCATGTACTTTCCAGATTACAAACTGTGTAGGGTAAAGATCTGCCTTTTTGTTTGCTTACTACACAGAATCTAGCATGTGGCTTAGTTAAGACAATAAATAATTAAGCAGCTTGATTTGGCTTTGTCTTGGTACTGAAAACATCAATGAAAACTGAAGTTTTAAGATGCTTGCTTTTCACGAAGCCATTCATTAAAATACAAATAAAAGCAAAACTGTAAGTCAATTAATATTCAAGTTTTTAAATCCTTTTTTTTTTTTTCTTTTAGTAACAAACAAAACCCCATACTTGTTGCTGTTCTTACAGAAATAGTGCCCTAAATGTTTCAGGAATTATGTCTTTGCTGAGTTCACTGTGTAAATATGAGATCAGTTTGCACGAGGAGAGACATACACAAGAAAGCAGCAATTATGTTTGCACTAAATATATTGCTTTAGAAATTGAATGTAGGAATTTCCTATTTTAACTTTGTCAAATCTATTTGGAAAAGGCTTCAAGTGATTTACACGTGCTGAGTATGTTTGCCTCCTTTAGCATTTCCCACTGTGCATCAGCGATCCCAACAGGCCACTCCATTGGAGAGGAATCCTGATCTGGACATCAACTGTTTAGAAACGAAAAAACACGACTCTTCTCCAAGACAACTTTGGTTGCACTGCTCTTAGCCGTTAAAACAATTCCAAGACTTCATCAGCAGGATTGCTGTGAATACGTCTGAGGAAGCTGACAAAGTGCTGCGTTAGCAGTCCCAGAAGAACTGGATCAATATCATTGTTCACTTAATTCAAAGAACAGCTGAAAAAGAAGTTCAAGTGGTCCGAGTTGTCTTGCTTGTAGCCTGTAAGTGCTTTAAGCCTGTAAGTGCTACGACCATTGCAAATGTAATAAAACTCCTGCTTTACAGTTGAAGAATGCTTTGGTCTTATCAATATATATTCCATATATACTTAAGAAAAGGAGGGACATTCACCAGATTGCAAAAATGAATTCTAACTGCATCAACACACTGCATATAAACTGGATCCATTTAAACTGGACTGCTGTTGTAACACAAAATGGATCAACTGCAGTTAGAGGTGAATTACCCCCAGTTAGTCCCCAAACATCAGTTTTTGTTTTGTTTTCACATTCTTTTCCATGCTTGATTCATTTTATAGGTGAGTATTTTAGTGATGACCAGGAGAGTATATCAACTGCTAGAAATCCTATTGGATTCCCTTCAATCCTTTGCTGAGTTCTTCTGTCTGCAGCTCCCTGAATATATAGTCCTGAAAGAAGAAAATAGGAAACTCTGCTAACAAGCTGAGCTCATTATTGTCTTAGAGACATAAGAGAAACATGTTTAGTTTCAAGAAGAATGTGCATGCTTAAGAAATGAATGAGTTTTTCATGCTGAATTTTCTGATCTACCATACTAAGAGGCAGCTCATTAGTTAAAAAATTTTGTAACTTTTCGGTATAGATTTTTGAGAATGTGTTATAGGTTTTTAATTGGACAGTTGTGTTCTGCACTACTGAAGAGTTTTTCTTTGCATCAGCCTTGGGCTGCTCCCTCTGGGAGTACTGCCCTGACACCAAGCACTGATCAAAATGGAAGTTGGTGACCCAACACTGCAACCCCAGAGGCATGTGAATAATTTCACTGTTGCAAAGAAAATCTAAAACTATACTCTTAAATTTAATAAAAAAGGCCTTAGTCTAGTTACTAATACTTTGAAGTGAGTAACAACAAAAAAACACTCTGCAGTCTTTGTGATGCAAGAGAAACTGCAATAATATAAAACAATGTTAAAAAAAGATTAAGTACATTTTCTGTAGTCTGATCAATGAATGGAAATTACTCCATAGTTAATAACAATATGAATAAATACTATTACGAATAAATATTTATATGGAAAACAGTTAATCAGAGACTATTCCAAGAAGAAGCAGACTGATAAAAAAGATTATCTAGTTTTATTTTAATACATTAAAAATGCTTTGTTTTGTTTTTTTTTTTCACTTTCAAATAAAGAACTATATGCATGAACCAGATGTATTCTATATGCATATGAAGCTTGGAGTCAGTAGATAATTGTAAAATAGTTATGACCTAGTAAGCTTAAAATGCACGTAGGTTGATGATCCGCCTCTCTCTGCTAATTGCTTTTGCTTCACTTAAAGCTTCTGTTTAAAAAAAAAAAAAAATCTGTTCTCTCTCATGACAGCATCAAAATAGCATAAACCTTTCAATCATAGCTGTTGATTACCGTGCACAATCAGACGCTCCCATCCCAAAAAAGATGATGACCCAAGAGGCAGATCTCTGACAGGTTGAGCAACAGGGCCAGTAATTTTGATCATTTTGGTTCAGCAAAGGATGAGTGCAGATGTTCACATAAAATCCATTAACAGCTAATCAGATATTTCTATAAAAACATGAATGCTTGCTGAATCAAGGCCTGAATTAGTAACTTTAATGAGGAAGCTTTCATTCTTAAACTCATACACAATGGTGTAGAGGTACACAAAAAGACACATACTGAGATTTAGACATAAGATAGCTGTGTATGTAAATATACGCATGTTTGGAACGTTAGATAGCACTCCCACTGTAAATCTGAAAAGGGGCTTTTCTGTACAAGGAGAATACCTAGTTTAAGAAAACAAGCAACACATGGAAGGAAGCCTGTTGGGGAACATGATATTGCAGTAAGCAATTTACCAACAGCACAGCTGAATCTGTCATCACCGCTCTAAGTAAAGCTGCGTCACTTCTAATTTTCACTTCATATTAAAACCAATTAATTTAGAAATACTGAGTACCTTCCAATTTAGCTATTTTTTCAAAGAGTTCAAGTATCATGTGGCTGCTGTGGGAGCAGAATTATCACAAGTTCCATCTGGAATGTACACCAGAAAAAGATGCATGAGAATTGGACCTGAAAGCCACACAAGGAGAACACAATAAATCAGACAAATGTTGACTAGCTGTTAGTGCTACCAAAAAAAGAAGTGCTTTGCAGATTTTGCTAAATCATCAAAAATAGGTGATTAAGTGTAACAGAGAAGACAAATCTTTCTCCAGGAGGAAAGTTGCATTCTGCCTTGTGCTGCTTAAATTCATCTCACCCTCAGTGCACTCTGCATCTTCCTGAAAAATGTAACACTTGTGTTCTACTCCCCAGTTTTTTCTGTCTGCTAGCTCTGCTAGCAAAGAAAAGGCCGGACTTCATTGTCCTTTATCCAAAATGGAAAAAATCGGTGGAGAGAGGTGTAGTTTATCACAGGAGCATGAGTTAAGTTGTAGAAAATCATGTTGGGCATGAGTTCATGTGTCAATCATGTGATTTGTATGACACATGCCAAAACACAAAGTTTTACCTGTGACTCTGCTGGCTGACTGTAAGAGCATACTCTTGCCAGCATAGAGTGAATCATCTCATACAACTTGGTACACCGACACGTATGCTTGGATCTACTTCTTTAAGTGTTTCCTTACTTTCTTGTTGAAGGAAATAGTACATTATACATTTTCTCATGACTGAAAACAATCAAAACACACAATTTTCCTTAGATTTGACCACAGATGGTAGAAAAAAAAATAGTGATGTTTTGCACCCACTTTTAGTATTAGCTGCATTTTGTGTTTGTTTCTCCTGTTATTCACTGAAGATCTTTTTTAGGATTAATTAGATAACATGACTTACAGACATTTTCAAATATATATTAATTTCATTACAAAGAAAAGCCATAATTTCACTCTTACTTCAGCCACTTTAGCTGGTGTGATGTCTCCTTCATATGGGCATCCCAATGCACAAGAAACATACCTACAGTAAAAAGAACAACACACAAAGATGCTTCTGTTCTATATATGCATTTCTGTAACTGTCCATGCTACATTAAAAAAAAGAAAAAGCTTAAATATAATTTTGAACAATTAAGCTAGTCAGTGTAGAAGAAAGTTCTCAATGAAAAGTTAAAATTACATTAGATGAAAATAGCAGGTTTCCCAAATTTCTTTTTAAATCACAGAACAAGATTTTATAGTTTTATTTTTGCTCAATATGTTACAAGTTGTAAAGCACTGGCAATGCAGCCAAGTTAACTCTGCTGCAGGAAACTTCAGTTTTTCTTGGTATTTCCTTTATAAGTTACAAGAGTCCACTCAAGTTTTGCCTTGCCTGGCCCACACAAGCTATTCAGAGGAAGCATCCTAACACTTCCTTCCTTGTGCCTGCTACCTGGATCACAGAGAGCAGTAGAAGGACATAAGCAACATAAAACCACCTCACCACTTCATCAGTAGTTGGAACTGCAGTGAATAGGATAGCTTTGGCCCTTTGTGCTGGCATCTCTGTCTCAGTGCCCCAGGAGAACTACAGCTTCATTGCTTGGGACAAGAAGAAATCGAGTAACCAGACTGTGTCTCTCAGCAGCTGTCTATTCCACAAAGCACAAAAACTGAAAGCCACAGATGAATCTTCCTTGTTCAGTCTTAATGCCGTGATAATGTAGAATTGGGTTTAAATTTCCTTTTCTCAATAACAATTAAAAGCCATGAAATTTCAATTATATTTCTAGTTATCTTAAATTGATTAAGAATAGGATTAAACCAACCAGAAACAGCCATTCAAAATCTAAGCATGTGCTGCTGTAGAGGGATTTACAACAGCTTCAAAGACAGGCAAAGCCCCAGCCCCAGTGGGAGGTTACTCAACTGCTTAATAGGAGAACAAGAGCCTTCATCGATCCCCTGTCATTTCCCTTCCCTCAGCACTGAAGAATATAACACAAAATTATACACTGTATAATGAAACTAGATTGAAAAGAAGCCAGTTTGTATGTAGTCAAGATCTGTAGGGTAAAATACATGTTTTTTCTTTGCAGTTGACAGAGAAAGTGATTCATAGAATGTGAAATCGGGACAAGTAACAGGCAAAAACTAATTGTGAAAAAATGTCAGCATTTTAATGCATGGAATATATTCCATCCTTCATTTATATATGGCACATTAGAACTAGCAGTGAGAATGAAGCAGATCCTGAACCTAAAAAACCATTGATTAGCCCTGATAAAGAAATGGAAAAGAAAGTTCATTTCCACAAAAGTGGTTGGGTCCATTACATCCTACTTGTAATTTTAACCCAGATGCCCAGTAGGCATGATTTCAATTATCTTTACATTACTATAAAAACCAGGTTTTTCAACCTCATCCACACACTTTAATAAATATCCTTCAATTTAGTTGTCACCATTTAAATTTTAACATTCCAAATTTTATATAAAACATTAGCTACTTTTAACAGTTAAGCACTGCTCTGCTTTTCAGAAACATGTAACTCAGAAACAACTGGAGAAAATTTCCTTAACTTTCTTGTCTGCATACAAAGAGTTTTTCAAAAGGTACCAAACATGACAAATGTCAGAACCAAACCAAACACACTGACTTTTAATGAAATGAATTTGCAATATCAACCACTGCACTCATTGTGAAGTGAGGCAAAACTAGTACAAAGTAAATACAAAATTTACAGTACTTATTTACACGTTCACTTTAATTATGTATAACTTACATGTTACTAGCACCTCAGCACCTTAGATCACTAAGACCTGCATTTTGTAGTGATAATGTGGCACAAGTGGCATCCTGAATGGCATATGGCAAACAGAAGTAAAAACAGGCCAAAAGGTACCTACAGAACAAGGAACTACTACTGCCTGTAGTTCCCATCAACAAGCAGAAACTTGCCTGAGCTCACATAATGCAGCTGGGCCTGCTGGGGTATGAAATTATGTGGTGACCTAAGGAATCTGCCTACTACAATGCACAAATCTGTTTGAGATTATGAACTCTCTGCATGCTTCCACCATTGTAACTAGAATGAAATTTTAAACAAGGAAAATACAGCAAATACAATCTAACTGGGCACCCAATATTCAATATTAGACTGGAGAAAATAGGGACTATGGAAAAATTAGCCAGGTAAAGGAATTCCTACCATAGAGAGCAAAGTTCTAAGGATAATGAAATAATCATTTTTAGTAGAGCTTGTCAAGGATAAACACTAAGGATTTGGTAGAATTTTGCCAAAAATACTCATTTAATGACTTGCAATTAAAAACGTGGTGGTTACATGAAATTTCTTGGTACTGTCCTTACCAAAAAAGCAGTGGGATTCTATGAAGAAAGGACAGAATCAACATAAATGAGACTCAATAGGCAGCAATGACAAAGGAATGAAATGCCTGAGACTGTAAAATAGTGAAATGCATATATCAGGATAAGCATTTCTAGAAGAGAATATAAAACATGAATTTCATTTGACAAGTTGTTATGTTCTCATTGGAAAACAGACATGATTTGAGTCATCCATAGAAAAAGCTGGAACAGATGCCTGCAAGGGCTGGTACAGCTAGCAGCAGTAAAGACAATCTCTCACGTGAAAAGAAAACACATACACAAATTAATAAGCTCGAGGAAGAGGAGGTAACTTTATATTAAAACCTATCTGTTATCTACAGATACATTTGGTAGCTACATTTTCTTTGCGGTATTTGAAATAATCCATAAGGCATAAAAAAAGAATCCAGTCAAGGCAAGGGCCTTAAGACCTCCACCCACACCCTTTCAAATTGCAGACAACCTTGAAGAACATGTAAAGAATTGCTTAGAAAGAAGAAAATTAACAAGATCGAGCTGCAGGAAGCAACAAAGGACACACATTTAAAGAAGAGCCTGGTCCAGTGCAGCAAACACTACTGACAAGGCAAGAAGAATGGAGATAGACTACTGTTTCTGAGATCCTGTCATCAGGGAGTTTGGTGAGAGCTGTTCCAGTTGCAAGCAAGGAACAGAAGCCAAAGTGTAGGAGTTATAGGAGAGAATCACAGAAGAGGGTCTCCAGACAGTAATTATAAACAGCGCCTTCAATGAGCTTAGAAATGAAGGAGAGATAGGCAATGAGATATGATATGAAGAACCAAGTAGGGTCAAAGGTGCAATTTTTAAGAGGCAAATGCTTGCTTATATTGCAGTGGAAAAGAGCCAGAGGACAACGAGAGGTTAAGAAAGAGAATAAGGGAGGGATGAAATAAGAGGGAGAACAGAACATGGGGTCACTGGGGCAAGTGGAAGGGGTACAGATGGAAACTAGACAAGAAACTCCTGCTGCTCGCCAGTGGAGAAGGAGAAAAGATTACGGAAGGGGAATGACAGAAGGAAGAGCACAGTGGATCTATTTTTCCACATGAGAAAAAGCAAGACATTGTGTGAAGGAAAGAAGCAGAGGGAAAAAGAGGGAAGAGTTTGAGCAATAAGTTATAGAGACAACTGGGATTTAATTTGGGGATTCACTTAAGTTAGAGAATACAGCTGTTTTCTACAAAAGATGGCAAGACTGAAAGAAAAGAGGAATTTGTAATGAAAAAGACTGTCTTGGTCTCAGGATATTCACCAGAGACACTCCTCACTATATGAGCAGAAGCACATATCTGGGAGTTCACAAACCAGACTTTGCAATGGAAGTGTTTAATTCTAAGTATGTGCTTAAATCTTTGCTGAATGAAGGCCAGGCATTTTAGTAGCTTAACTGTGTCTTTAGCATGCTATCACTGAAAGAACTCAAGCAATTGGGAGCAGAAAGAAGAACTTGCAATACGTGAAGTTACCTATAAAGCCGCCTTAGGAACACACAGGTAGATGCTGTTTTTCTCACTCAGGTTTTGAGACCAATTACTTCCTTTAGTAAAAAAAGTGATAAAAAGATCCCTACTTGCATCCCCAGGCAGAGTCTGCCCCAGTCTCTTGCATGTTTTTTCAGAATTCACTGCAGGTGAGGATCGTTTGAGTTTCTCCTAAATTGCCTTCTATGCATATAACAACAATTTAAAACACAAAACCCAACAAATTTACTGTGTAGTATTTTGGACAAAAATGCTGAACAGCCTCCGGGGATGGGGAGGGATAAGGAAGAGGAAGAGAGTTTTCAATTTCTTCCAATAAGCCAAAACTAAATTGCTGTGCTCCACAAATGCTGTAGACAGTATAAAGTCTCTGAGATCAAGGTGACTAGTAGCAGTGATAATCACCACACCAGCCCAATGACTGTGAAATGTAGGATACAAAACCACAAACAGGGTAAATGAACAAACTTTTCATAACCAAAGTGTTAAAATGAAAATGAATCCAAGCAGAAAGTCAACTCCATGTTGTAATCAGACCTTTGTCAGCTTGTTTCAGCAAGAGTTCAAGAGCCAGATCCACAGCTGCTACCACAGCTGGAAGCACAGAGCCTCCTGAGAAGCCAGTTGCAGACTCAGATGCTGCTGTTTCCTGTTTATTATTATAGTGTAAGTTCGCATATAATTTACCATGTTCACTGCAGATGTATTTATTTTTATTGGATGTTCGTGCTAAAATGTATATGCCTATCATTTGGTAAATTCATAATATTAAGGTTGATATATTCTGTCTCTTTGCAAAGGAAGCCATTTGTTAGAAACACACAATCTTTACTGTAAGGAGAGGGTAATACAAAGAGAGGGGGGAAAGGAGATTGTTCTAGAAACAAAATCTCCAATACAGCCTCAAAATGTGTAAATAAGTTCAGGATTTTTTTAAGTACTTAAAAAAAAAACGCCAGAAAACACCACTGAATTCTATGAATGATTTTTCAATCTCTCTAAAAACAGAATACTGAAGGGCCATTTCAGGGTTAGTAACTATGACTAATTATTCAAGCAATAATCAATAACATACTACCAAGCACTGCGTGGTTATCTATTTTATAATTTCATACAAACAATTATATCTAATTTTACACTACCA